CTACCAAAATTATGCTTACCAGAGTTACAAATTAATTCTACCCAAATTAAGTTTACCTGAGTTACGAATTAATTCTACCTAAATTATTCTTACTAGAGTTACGAATTAATTCTACCAAAACTAAGTTTACCAGAATTACTAATTAATTCTATCAAGATAATGTTTACCAGAGCTACATATTAATTCTAACAAAATTATGTTTATCAGAGTTACGAAATAATTCTACCAAAATTATGCTTACCAGAGTTACGAATTAATTCTACCAAAATTATGCTACTAGGTTACAATTAATTCTAACAAAATTATGTTTACCAGAGTTACGAAATAATTTTACCAAAATTATTCTTACCAAAGTAACTAATTAATTCTACCAATATAATACTTACCAGAGTTACATATTAATTTTACTAAAATTATGCTTACCAAAGTTACAAATTAATTCTACCAAAACTATATTTACTAGAATTACTAATTAATTATATAAAAATATAAATTTATTATCGTTATAAATTAATTAAAGAATTATAAAGAATTATACATTCAAGTTTCCAATAAATCTTATAATGAATGATCAAAGAGGTTTTCGCCTTGCAACTAAAGAAGAAATAATCTATTCTAAGACTTATCGCGAATATTTAGATACTAAAAAAAACTATCAGTCTATTCGATTAAAGTTATTCTGATTCCTCTGAACATGAAAAAGCTTTTATTACATATAAAGTAATGGAAGATTATGATACCCTTAATTATCGAATAAAATATAAATTAGGATTGCATTTACTGTCTGGAGTCAGTTGCAAAGAAGAAATTGATAAAGGTTATAAGAAAATTGTTGAAGCTGCAAGTTTAGATCTTCCTGATGCAAAAAGCTGGATAAACAAATATAAGAATAAAAATGATTATGGAGTAGTAGAAGTGAAAAAATTATTATTAAATAAAAATCGGTAGGTTAAATTATATACACGTATTCGATTTCTATTTACACATGACCTCGGTTATTTACGAAAAAAAATAATGTCAATTGTTTATATCAAATTAATAATATATTTTTATTTTTATTTTATATATTGTAAACCGCCAAGCTTTAATAAAGTCCAATGCGGTGATTGAAACTGTCCATCGTTAATACCAGTTATGATTTCTATAAGACTCAGCTCATCATATCCGGTGTTAGTGATGGGACTTAAAAATTAAAAATTCAAATGTCATACCCCGTAATCTATTGAAAAAATATTATAAATTATAAATGCAACAATTAAGAATCACCCATTTTTCGTATTGTTAGTCGCATCCTAAACTTAAAATTAATACGCTGAATTGAATATAGTTCAATTGAAGAATTATTGGGTATATTAAGGAAAAAAACGCATTTAAATAAGTACAATAAAACTATAAATAAAGTATTTTATATCAATTCAGTAATTAATTCACACTAAATAAAAAACATCATCTAGCAGTAATGTAAATTAGATTAGAATCCAGAAATTTGTAATGCAAATATTTTTTGTATGGTAGTTATAAATAAAAATAAATGGAAAGCAAAATCGAAATCCTATAAAAAATTAGCCCTCTCAATTGTTTGGTTTGATTTGCCTCTTTTTGGAATAAAGATGGTCGATAAGCTACTCTATTTATCATTTATTACCGGATTCGCAGTTTCACTCTTCTGTCATAATACCGCAATAACCATATTACAGAGCCTTGATAGTTATTCAGTAAAAATATGGAGATTTTGCTTAATACAGGAAGTCAAACCTCTATCGGAATTTCTTGACTTTCAAATCCTTTGACTAAATCAATTAAATGATCATAAAATAAACTTGCTTATATCGACTTTTTTGAGTTTTACTTGTTGTTGAATAGATTTTTCGAGAATTTCTATTATGAATTTTCTCTGATCCTTTCATTTAAATCTTTTTTATTCTTATATTGTTAAAAAAAACAAAATATGTTTGGTCAAATAATGCGCTGACAAAAATCCATTCAGCCTTGTATTTTGTTTCATCCGAATAACACTTTACATTTTTAAGGTATTTTTTACACTTTTCACCATCAAATGTATTCGGTTTGACAACATTATAAAAATCATCTTTCGAATTTTGTCAATATAATAGTTAAGCTGTGAATCTATATAAGAAATTTCTTTCTCATCTGTCTCCTCCTCTTCACTTTCAACAATTTTTTTGAAATCCATATTGATCTTTATGTGCAGAAATTTATATCAATATTTATTCAAAGCTTTTTGATAAAATGGAATTAGGTTGTGACCAAATAGTGAAACATATTTATATATTGATTATCTGCAAGCGAGCGAAATCCAGCATGTTGATAATTACTAATTGGATATAAATATAAATTATTTAATTCTTTTCTGCCCATGATTAACATAATTCGGTCCGGTACTATAAAATTTGAACCTAATGTTTATACTAATTTTAACAATAAATAATTCGATTTTTATAATTTTACATAAATACAAATTTAATTCAATGTGAAGTGATCCGTAATTAAAATGTCTACGAAGTTGGAATTGGAAAAATATTTGGGAGATAATCAGATGATCAGCAACAATAAATACTCACTTTATTATATAATGTTGTATTTAGATCGTTTGCTCACGATATTAGACTGAAATTTTTATTATATAATGATGTATTTTGATCGTTTGCTCACAATATTAGACTAAAATTTTATAAATATAACTGTTTATTAGCCTTGTCTCCAGAAACTTAGTAAACTGAAATTTTTATAAATTGGTATTATTCATTACTTAAGAAGAGGCTATAATGTCCGAGAATGCTGAAAACTTCGACCAGTCTTTGGATACAAATAAAGGTAAGAATATAATAGAGTTAATACATTTAATAAATTATGACTGTATATTTTAGTTTCGTAAAAGTTTTCTTGTCAAGATTAGCAAGCTAATGCAATTTCTTTGCTATAAATAAATTTGGGAATCTTTTAAATTATATCACTGCAATGAATATCCCAGTAAAAATGATTGAAGAAAGATTGTATGGTCCTGTTTATTTTTCCTTCGGAGAGGATATTTTTTCTATCAATGAGATCTTCTTAGTAAGGAAGCCTGACACGTTCATGTCTATATTTTACAAAAATTCTGATGAGTTTGGATCGATTAATCAGGTGAATTATAAAGGTGTGTATAATTAAGTTGTCTTTATTAGTTGTCTTTATTTATTTACTAATGATTTGCTTTATTAAAATTATAGTAAGTAAATTTGAATCTTTACAAATCTTTATTATAAGGTTAATTTATTTTTATTTTAAGGATAGGAAAGTTCGAGTACTTAAAATGACTGAAATTAGCCCTTTGATGACTCCGGTCGTAAAAGATTATTATGAGAATGATATTATTCCAATTTATAGTATCAAGTATGGGATTGAACAAAAAAAGTTTGAGAAGGACTTGGATTGTTTGTTAATCAAATCTAAAGAAACTTTTGAAGACAAATTGCACCATTATGATTCAGATATTCTGTGTGATTTTGTTCAAGAAATAGCTAACTATACGAATAAAAAGTTTTTTCGTTCTAACGTTCTTGAGATATGTTTTCATTTTCATTATAGGCCATTTGTTAATTATAGTAGAGAATGGCGTGTTTTTGTTGAAGGGGGATATGGGTTTTATTGTGTTTCTGAGTATTTTGAATTTATAAAGAATGGGCTTTTAGAATATTTTCCAAATTTTAAGATAAGTGAGAAGGCTGATAAGTTTTGTAAATCTAAATCGATTGTGATTGAGAAGGTGCTTGACAAAAAAAGAGTCGTCGAAATGGCTGAAAATACATTCAAGAAGCGTTTGATATATGTGAAAGATGATGATTAATTTTTGTAGAAGTATTAGATTTTATGTGCGTAGGTTCATTATTGCAGTCATTATTTTATACTACATCACATTATATTTCTTATGAAATTAAGAAATTTTTTAAAAATTTATGTAAAATTCTTTTTAAATTTGCATTATCTACCAATTGAACAATAATTTCTTATAAAAAAAATTTTTTTTTATGACATTTAAGATTCGAGAAAAATGAATAACGGTTCCAATCAAGTTTAACTTCAATATTTACTTGAGTTGAAAGGTATATTTTGATACTTTCAAGAGTTATACATAAGTACTAGTAACAAATTCAATGTTAAATCAAACTTAAAATCTTGTAATTATTATAAAATAAGACAAAAAAAAAAGGAAATAAAAAATTAAATACTATGTTTATTAATTAGGCCATGCAAAAATAATTTTTTGGTTCTCACAATCTTAAAGATTAAAAATGACTGGCAACCGGCTTTTAATTTTATTTTAAAAAATTTTATATTTTTATTTAATTATTATCACGTATATATCAAGTTACTCTTTAATGAAAAGGAAGATGGTAGAATATAAGTACATGTCTCTCAAGTTAAACAAAAATTGTATAGCGCGCCACTGTGTTTAATGGCTGAATGAAAGAAATGCATAAGACTACTTATAATAACCTGAAATCGCTAAGCTATTGGTAAAATTTTTAAATCTAGGTTGTTATTGAGATTAATTATAGGTTTTTTTTTTTTTATTTAAATAAAATGTAATATAAAGTAATTTTTAGTTATTTGGATTATACAACCTTTGAATTATTATAATTATGAATAATTTTAAGTGATTATTGCCTATTTTTTTAAATAACTCGCTGAACTACATCAATAACTTGTCCATGTATTTTAGAATGTGCAACTACGACTCCTTTGTTGGTTTTTAATGTTCTTCCCAAAGAGAAGTCTAAAGGTTTATTGTTAATATCTGAAACAATACCCTCTGCTTCCTTAATAAGAATGCATCTAGCTGCATGATCCTTATTAAAAAATTTTTTTTTATTAATACTAGTACAAAAAAATGTATAAACTTCTAATGATATATATCCAAATATTCTCGTTATAATCAACACGGACAGGTAATCTTAGATAAATATCTGCATCACCTCTCGCAACAGCACAATATTTACATATACTATCCATGCGGAGAGGTGGTTTTGTGATTCCAAGAAATGATGCAATTTTTGCCGCATCACCATGTGAAGAATGTTCGGCTACAACTGATTCACAAAATAAGGCTGCAGATGGTGATGAAATATCTGCAAGACGGATTTGTGTTTCTTCTGATGTAGAAAACTTACGCTATTATTTAATTTATAATTCAAAAGATTAAATTTTTAAATATAATTTGTAAAAGCTGAATTATTATTATTATTATTATTATTACCTGAAAAGCACCTTGCCCCTTAATGGCAACAAATAAACATCCTTTTTCACCTTCAGGTGCTTTAAGATCTACTGGTAAATTCGGACACCCTAAAACACCAAGGCGAACATCTCCGTCAATAATCAAAGCTAACCCAATACAAAATTGTTCTCCACGAAGAAATCCCATGGTTCCATCTATCGGATCAAGAGCCCATATTCCTAATTCAAATTTTTTAATAGTTATTTTAATATAATGAATAATTTTAAAATTTATTGTAGCACTAACGTCCACTTGAGCCACCAGGAAAGCTTCCTCTATCAATAGTATCCAATAACTGTTATTCAAATTAATTAAATTAGAAATATAAACAATAATAATTATCTATAATAAATAATAAAATAATATCATTTTATCAAACCTCATTATCATTCAAGGGAGTATCTAGTACAGTGTTAGCCAATGATAAAACTTTATTTCTCAGTTCTTTTCCGTTATCACCTCGTAGACTTCCAGATTCTTCTTCTCCAACAATTGGATCATTTGGAAAAGATTCATATAAAATTTTGTTTACCACTGCTTGTGCACTAAAATCAGCAACTTTTTAAAATAATTGAATTAGAAAAAAAATTAATGTGAAATAAAAAATATATATTTTAAACATAAACAAGAATGTAAAGATTTTTTTCTAAATACCTGTAACAGGGGATCTATCCTTCTTAATAACAGTATCACTTGTCACAAGGTTTTGAAAAACTTTTTGGCAAATTTTGCTAGCCCTTAAGACTGCATTAATTGCAACATCTCGTTCAATTGCTAGTGCTATTAATCAGAAAGTAAATTATAATCCTTCAAAATAACTAAAGTTTTTTGAAATATACCTAACATAAGATATATAATTCGAAAAATAGTAAAAATATTTGTGAGGTAACTTTGTAGAACAATAAATTACCAAATATATATATTTTTTGAAAAATCTTCTGATGCATTATAAAATTAGTTTAATATAACTAGTACTCTAGAAATAGTCTATATAAAAAGTTAATAAAAATTTTATCAGAGTGAAATTTAATTAATTCATAAACCAAATACTCAAATTAAATTGCGCTAAAAGTGAAACAATACACTTTATAGAAACAATTCACTTAAATATGATTATAATAAGGTCTTTAATTAAATTCAGGTAAGTGTCAATAAAATCTTCACGAATAAAATTAATTGAGGATAGTTGTTAGACGAAACCATGTGATGCTAAATGTCACATATCAAATCTTAATAAAAATTAGGTTAAATTTTTAGGTCTTGGTATTTTGTATCAGGTGATATTTAGCATCACATGGTTTCGTCTAACAACTATAAATTGAGGATAGAAAAAGTCAATCCAACAGAATTTGGTCATTTTCTTTGTTTAGTCCTAGCATTTCTATTTATTAAAGTTAAATCCAATTACTGCTGCAATTATATCATTTTTCGTTTAAATTAAGTTTAGTCTAAATTACTTTGAATTAAAAATTTTTAATTCGGTTTTAGCTATTCATTTTTCTATTACCGTAAAAAAAAAAACAGAGTTATTTAGGGTTAGTGTTCAGAATTCTGCGGTGCATAATTTTGCTTGCTCTAAAAATATTTTTTACATTGTATTAATTTTTTATCTTACAGAGACAATACAAAAAAATATTTTCTAACACGTTCCAATAATAAAAATTGGAATAATGGAATATGTTCAAAGAGAATATACTTTTCCATCAAACCAAGAAATTTACTTTAATAAATTATGCTCTTTGGATTTGGATGATGCATTAGTTTCTTCTCAAGGTAGGAATTTATTTTCAGTTTTAAATTTTGTGCACGAAAACTTGTAATCCGGAAATCAAGTCGGAAATGTAAATAGTTCTGGAAAAAATAACAATTGGGATCTTTGCTAGGAAAATGACCTTCCGAGGCTATGTGGATTTATGAATAAAATTTAAATTTGCCAGCGATCCAGTAATCCAATTTGAATAAACTTTTTTTTATTTCATAGAGTTCGTTAGGCTTTATGAAATAAAAAAAAATTATTAAAATCGGATTACTGGATCGCTGGCAAATTTAAATTTTATTCATAAATCTACATAGCCTCGGAAGGTCATTTTTCTAGCAAAGATCCCAATTATGTAAATAATCCCGATCACTATATCAAGATCACGGGGTAGGGATTCTGCTCGCTCTAAAAATATCTTTTTGTATTGTATTTAGTTTTAAAAAAATGATTAAAGTCACGTTTATCTTATGGAGACAATACAAAAAAATATTTTTAGAGTGAGCAGAATTCCGGACGCTCTAAGTCCGGTCCGATCCTCGGTCTTGGATTCGGTCTTGAAAATAACAATACATTTTATATGATTTAGATCCTGCATCAGATACTGAATTGAATTCATCAAATAACTTCATCCAATCAAATTAATTTTGTATTGGCCCATAGAGGTAAGGTCACGTGATAAGAAACGGATTCGGTTCTATGCTTTTCACGTAGCGGCTAGTTTTTTAGATCGATTTACAGATCTACACGTGATTATTACCCAGTCAAATTACACAATTTTTATTACATTACAGTTCAAAAACGAAAACTTCAAGACAAAAAGTTTATATGAATTGGTAAAAACACTGACTATATACATATAAAAGATAGGTGAATATATGGATATTCATCGGTTTAAAGTAACCTGTTTTAAGAAAAACGGTACTATTTCAAACCTTTATTATTTCAAAGGACAATAAAGCTAAAATTGAATAATCAAAAAAAAAAAAATCAACAAAGAGCTAGTAAAAACACCACCAATCAGTATATTCGGATATTTTTTTCATTTTTCTCCCTGTCTAATTCTTTTTGCATGTTGAATAATTTGTTGTAAAGTCCAAAAATAACAGCGGCAAAGTTATTTATATGTTCTGATTGATTCGCATTCAATCTTTAATAATAAAAATTTAATTAATATAATATACAATTTCTTAGAAATACAAGATAAAAAATTATTAAAATATGCCTTTTTTCATGATTAAGTTCTTCACTCAGATTATTGATTTCACTGCAGATAATATGGTTAATATACATACAATTTATTAGCAACTTAAAGACTATTAAAATTCTGAAAAAATACGTTTTCTTCTGATCAAGTTCTTTATTCAGGCGATAGATTTCACTGATGAGAAGAGACTCTATGTGTGTTTGATTTTTCAGATGTACTGCAGCTTTACATTAATGCATTGTTAGTAAATTCTAGAATTACATGTGTTATCATTAAAACATAAAGATAAACACCTTTTTGTAGCAAGTTCGCTTTACTCATCTTACTACTTGCAAAATAATGGGGAAGCATCTTATAAATCTCATCGAAGCCATTTTTGATTTTTGAATTTGATTTTCGCATAGCTTCGGCACGTCTCTGTTTCCTATTTGTTCAAATTAAATTTTATTTTAAAGAGATTGCAAATTCAATAAAGATGAATTATACCTGACAACAGAAACATTATTAGAGGTTCTATAATCGATGTTATTTCCAGAGATTTCAGTACTTAAGAAGTCTGATGAATCTGCTTTACTTTGGCTTTTAGCCATGAAATAATTGTCATAAAAATTCATATGTGATCTTGCCTAAAGGATAGTGAATAAAAGACGCCAAATGATGCCAATTTATTAGATTTTTTTAATCAAGTGAGGATTTTAGAATATATTAATATTATTAGATACCGAGTCAATTTATCAGATTTCAGTTCGATGAATTCTCGTGTAAACAAGATTAAGTTAAGAACATTATATAATAATACGTTTGCGATCTACAATATACTATTATATATATAGTTATTATATTTAAAAAAAAACTGGCAATATAAAGGTATCTTTAAAAAACAAGATTAAAAAAATACAAGATCTGCAATATGCTATGCGTAATAGAATAAATAACTGGAAACAAAAACTTGTTTTATAATATTTTCTCAATAGTAAATAATATATGCTATTAATATGAGGATTTTAGAGATTTAATATTTTAGAATAACTGGACGTAAAAACCTGCTTTGTGTTTTCTCAATTGTAATGTTATATGTGCTATTAATTTAATAATATATAGCAAAACAGATTGCCACTTCATTCCAAAATTTTAACTTTTCGAACTTGTAAAAATGACTAAACAAGATGTACGAACCCATTTACTCAAAGTTTACATGACTTTCGGAATTCTTGCTTTCGGAGTTTATACTTGTTTGTATATTATTAGGGTATGTTATTTTTAAATCATCATGTTAATAGTACAATAGGACCTCCCTGTATGTATTTCTTTAAAATGTCAATTTGCCGCCATATAAACGAAACATGGTCACGCACTGTAAAATAGAATAACTGATAATTATTTTGAAGGGCCAATTTCTATGCCCGTTAAGTGCATGCTCTTTAAGTGCAAGTGTACATTTTCTTTTTTTTTTGTATTATGGTCCCAATGGGTGCACTTAGGAAGGTCTTACTGTATATTGTATATTGATGTTTTAAATTTGCCATTATTGTTGTAGCTGAATTCGTATTTTTTTTGTCTTTAGGTATTAGCATTTGTCCTAGAATTTGGATCTTGGATCGAAAACGTCTTTTCATACTTGGCAATCAGCAATATGAACTTCATAATTTTCTGTCCTTTTGCAGTACTGCAATTATTAATCGATGAAAGATTTGAGGCTCTTTCATTTATTTTAAGATTTGCGATTTCGGTGCCGATATGGTATTTATTCATTAACGGTGGTTGGTTGAATTTCATTGGAATGTTTTGTTTAGGGGGTATATATAATCAATTTTTCATCACGATATTTAAAAATTTTGACTTGAGTACAGTATTAATTATTTTTATGCCTTACAGTCTTATTTGATGTTGAATCTAAAATTCGTCACAGCAAATTCTCATGATTTTATAGGTTATTTGTTTGGTTTTATTGTCTTATTCGGTATTAACGGATGGTTTTATGATTTTAATTTCATAGGATGGTTTTGTTTATTAAGTATATATAATTCATTTCTCATTCATTTTCAATTCTTGACTTGAGTATAGTAGTCTTACTTGTAAGTGAACTTAATGCTTATCGTTTTGCGAAATCGGGATTTATAGGACATGCATTTTATTTGTTTATTTTTTTTGCATGTTGTCATATATTATTAGTGTCAGAATTATTTTTCTTTGATTTATTTTAATTCTGTCTTTTAACATCATTTCCTTGTACCGCATTGATGTTTATTTTGCTGGTTGTTGAGTAAGGATAATGCTGAACTTCATTTTAAATTTGTCTTCTGAAAATAAAGTTATTGTTCTATTGATACATATCCTAAACTAATAAACTTGATCAAGATCATGAATTACATCATTTGTATTACATTAGTAAATGATAATTTGACGCCTAACGCTAACGCTAATTATTTGATAAAATTGAGGATCTCTCACACATTTATAATTTTGGGTCGAATTATGCTGATAATGGGTCAGGCAATTTTGATGGCTGAATGAAACTAAAACAGATTGAAGAGGCAAATGAAACTCATTTATTATTTAATTTTCATGAAAATAGGTTTTTGTAATCATACTTTTGGTATTTAAAATATTTCTACTAGAACTTCGTGTATTTACATTAAATAATTAGAATAATATTAACGCTATCCATTATTTTTTGATTTAGATATTCTATGAGATAAACTAAAGATTCGGAGTTGAACATATATTTATCGTTTGGCAGAATCAGGATCTCATGATATTATAGAGTATACACTTTATTTGTTTACTTCTTTTGTCTTATGTCATTTAATTTTATTTGAATCAGTTAGTTGTTTTTGGTCCAAATTGAATTTAATTTGGCCGAAATCAGAATTCATTAAATAATAAGCAAATTGTAATTGCTTCCTCGGTATTAAATTTTTTTTCAGTAAAGTTTGAATTTGATAAATTCTATACTTCATTTTTTAAATAGTACTTGCAACTGTGGAAACAACTTTTACACTTAGTTTGAAACGTAATATAAAATTATTTCATTTGGCGGTCAGGTCATGAGTATAAATGCTGGTGAAATTGATTTCACCAGCATCTATAGTCACGAGACTCAATATAGACTCTATTCATTTTAAAATTAACCAGGTAGTTCTAATCAGGTTAAACAAGTTATAATTAACTAAATAAACGAGTATTTGAGCGCATGTTCTTTTACCATTTAAGATTCTTATATCTTTATTTATATTGGTGTGATAATTCTCAATAACAAAATACCTTGTTTCGTTAATATGTCGAAATTAAAAACCAACTCACCTTTTGAAAAGTACTTTTTATTCAA